CATTTTAAAAATATAAAATTATTCACGCAACTTCCTTATCAGCGGAATTTTGTTTCTCTTGGTGCTGAAAAAGCTAACAAGTTGGCGAGAAAGACAGGTGACCGTGTTAAATAATTAATAATAATAGAATGTCGCTTACACATATGTTAGTGTTTGGCCGAGCTTCTGCTCCGATTTGTGGCGTACGCTTTGATGTTGTCACACAAAAGGGAAGGACCTACAGTNAAAAGCTAACAAGTTGGCGAGAAAGACAGGTGACCGTGTTAAATAATTAATAATAATAGAATGTCGCTTACACATATGTTAGTGTTTGGCCGAGCTTCTGCTCCGATTTGTGGCGTACGCTTTGATGTTGTCACACAAAAGGGAAGGACCTACAGTGCTACGCTGACTCCGAACGGCGATTGTATTTTTATGAGAAGCTGTTTTTCATGCCTGCAGAGGGCCAACCGCTGTTAAGAAAAAAACTTGTTTCTAAATTTTTTTGCGATGTTGCTTTGAACAGGCGTTAAACCCAGGCCATGCGGAGGGGAAGCGCGCACAGCTTACCACTACATCACAGCGGCCACGGTCATTACTCTTACGAATCTTAGTAGTTTGTCGAGCGAAAGGGAATGAATCTCATCCATTCTCAATACAATCAGCCTAAAAATTTACCATCTTATGGTGATTTCGTTTCTTCCACCTTTCCTTTCCACGATGTCAAGATAGCTTAAGGGAATAGGCGTATATGTATTCGTTCAATAGTATCATTAATTTCCGAGCTGCTATACAAAGCATGCCTTGCGTTTGCATTTCAATCGACAAATGTACGGCTAGCGTGTACGTATTTAAGTATGAGTGTTTACAAAAATCGAATCTAATAGTTGTGAAATTTAAAACAATTCCCACTGGGAAAATAGGTAAGCACCTTACGAGGTAACCCATGTTTTCTTTCAGTTTTCAGTACCAAAATTGTCATCATGGCCAATGTCATCTACTTGTAAAGCGCAAAATGAACACCTCCGACGACACATTACGTTGTAAGTTGCAAAGTATCGTGCAGCCGAAGTTATTTCCAAGCGCCGAACTACTCCGAGCGACTGCTCTGCATTACACGTAACTTACTTTGTAAAGCGGCTCAGAAGTATGTCTGATACCAAATGTACATTCTTAATTCCTACTTACATAAGGCGGCCATGCCTTTGTAAAAGTAAGGGACGTTCGGCAGGGAAATGGTAATGATTGCCAGGTGAAGAGTAAGTTGCTAATAAGGTATTATTACGTGCTCCTAATTCCCACTGGGTTTCGTTTAGTATTTCATGGTGTGTGAATGTCGCATGTGTGAAGTATTTTAATAATTTTTAATAGAATAATTTCAAATTTGATTATTTTACAACGCTTTTATCAACTTGTTTTAATTAAAATCACTATAAAATGTTTGAATTAAAATCACTAACACATTATGCTTTGGGCCAAGTTCCAAGGTCAACTACAACTAAATAAACTTCCAAAAGGAGCACAAAAGAGCTGAAAGCGGAAAATATGATCGCTGTGGGCGCTAACAAAATGTGCGGCTTGTACTGAAACACACACACTAACCCTATGTACTTAGTCTTGGCATATGTACAGTTACTATGTACTTACATATGTCTGTACGTCCATTCAAACAAATAGCTAACGCCATGTGCCGCTTCAACCAGTTACTTAAGCTTAGTTGACTTGACCATGCAACCGACGACAACACCACCACCATAGACTAGCGGTGCATGGCAACTTAGCCAGACAGAAGCTTTTGTTACCCGAATTTACTACCATACACGCAAACAAACAAACATTTTCACGCTATTTGGTATGCCTACCCAGCAAAGAATTTTGGCAGCGCTTCTAAGGGCAATTTTAGCTGAAACGCCTTGCTTTGGAATGAAGAGATATTCCTTCACTTCTTTAATGCATTGTTCGGATACAAAGGGCTATATCTTTGCAAGATTGCGCCAATCCAGCTGAGAGCAACTGGGCGTGACGTCTTCAAATACCAGAATGAGAGAGCTAAAACGAACTCAACAAGAAGAAGAGGAAGAATCGAACAAGAGGCCGTGTTGCCAAGTTTTGAATTTGAAAAAGCACCGAATTTTTGTTGGTGTATTTAATGGACTTTATATGCATAGAAGTTTTATTTAGGAATGCCGATTCAAATTAATAAAAATCAATGTTCTGGCATGATTGAAGGTGCTGCCACATATTTTGTTGGCAAACTCTCTCTTATAATTTTCATTGTGCCATGATTTTGTTTTAATTTTTTTCAAGTTGTTTACGCCACCAGTTACGATTTCTATAAATATTGCTTCCATTTTTTAAAGAATTACAAATTTGGTGTCTTCAAAACAAAAACAAAAGCACTAAAAACGATTCAAGCATCAAACCCAAAAATTTTCGGGTTTTGAATATGCACTAAATTTAGTGAGAAAAGCACCAAGTTGGCAGCAGTGAATGTAAACAAAAGTATTGTGTGACTTCAGCGAGTGGGTGGATACTGTCAAATCGACGAAGAAAGGGTTAGCGGTCTGCGATTGGCGCCACCTTCATTTTCTGCATCGTGAGCGACAATGCCAGACTTCTTTTTTGAGAGCGCTGCAGCCGCCTAAACGAGTTTGGCTGTTCCTCTTCTGTGTCAACTGTTGCTAATTAGAAATGTCAAATGATGCCAAGTCTATCTCGAAAGCGGCTTTTAAATAGACAAATCAATGGTATGTAGGTATTTTCCAAAATTTTACTACTAGTGAGCACCTAGTAGTGGTAAATTTACGAAGTCTTAATCACACGTATGTCCAATCAGTCCGTTAAACCTTCATTAAGTCGCCTAACTCCATGTCAAAATTTTCGGGCGCTTTTCCCTCCTCGCCGAGCAAGGGCACCTTGCCAATTGAAAGTCCAGACAGCCTTACATAGATGTGAGACCAGAGTGACTCATACCTTTCCTTCACAATTCCATGCTCGCTTCTATGATAAGAGAGTTTTCTCTGCTGAGTAGCTCGGTTGTTGGCTAAGTGAAGGGAAAAATATGCAAGTGTACAAACGTTTGTATGTATGTACATTAGGGTGTTCCAATCAAAGTAAAGTCAAAATTTGAATGCTAACATACCCTCGGATTGTTCTCTATCGAAAAAAATTATACCCCTGTTTTTTATTTTGTATCATGTATCTTGCTAGGGAAAAAAACTATTTTTTGTAGAAATTATATATATAGATAGATTTCTTAAAAGTGCATAAATATTTTTCGATTAGAAAACTTTGTGTATCTTTGTTTAGTCTCTTCAGGAGACCTCCAATAATAATACTCTAAATGTTTATTTAAACATTTTTTGTGGCGGTATCGTGAACCGTATCCTATCCGGCGTTTTCTATTATACTTCCGTTTGGCTAAAATCACCGATTGGCTAAAATCCCGGTTTCCGGATTTCAATTATAGAAGATTCAATTTAAAAACCTAGTCAGAATCATTTTTTTTGTATGTTTATAATCAAGTTTAATAGTATTTATATGATCAGTAATTAGACAAAAACTTTTTAACTTTTTATTAAAAAATGTTTGGAAAAATTTTAGGCTAGGCATTTTTTCCCATACAAACGAAATTGTCGAGCATACTTTATATGGAAGAAAATGCTCAACACCGTGAGCCAAAAAAAAATATAAAACAATCACTGCGATTTTCTAGCGTCATGAAATTTCGCACTTTAACCTACTAAAATTTATTGGGCCACAAAACTGCATACCCAAAATTTGTCTAATGCTCATAATTTTTGTACGAAGTTCGAAATGTGGACTTATGCGGCGCTGATTAGGTAAAGTGCTAAACTTTTATAAAAAAAAATATAAAGCATTAAATAAATAAAAGAATAAATAGCCAAAACTAGACAAAATGTCACTTGACTTATGAAACGAAGATTTCCGCATTATCAAGCAACAACATGTTTCTATTTTCACATAATTGCTACTCCGATGAACCAAACACTATTTTTGAGTTCACTGAGGAAGGTGGTGCACAGAGATAATTCATTACCAGTATAACAAATTTGGAAATTCTTTCCGACTATGCTTCCACCAGTTTTTAGGGTTATTTATGTAAAAAAAAAAAACGAGTTTTGAAACGTAGGTCGCAAATTATTTCAACAATGAAGCATTACGTGACGATACGGCAAGCGAAGCGATATGTAAGCATGCATAGTAACTCGATTTTAATCGCATCTTAAAATAAACATCAACCAAGTTTCTGCTTAGCGGCGTTCATTGTTGTTTATCTTTTGTCTTTGGCGTCCTCTACTTACCAAAAATAA